GCTCATATTTTTGTTGAAATTTGAGCACGTCTTGAAATCAAAATACTATTCACTTTCTGGCAAAAGTGTCTTCAGCAAAGAATTAAAAGTTGGTACTAAAAGTTTCCATTTTTGTTGCATCCAAAGACAGAGGCTAAACCTTGTGAAGGTAAAACAAGCGTGACATTTCAGATTCTGCCCAGAAAGAACACAAGTGACAGCAAGATGTGGGGTTGAAGACGTGGGGTAAGGAGGAAAGGGAAATGAAAGAAGAGCCACAACAAGGAAAATGTCATGCTCCTGGAAATGAAACTTCAAGATGCCGGGACTCCCCCTTAAAACCCTAGGGACTGACTCAGCACATGCTGATCAAATGCTGCAGACAGTTCATTTAGGACTAGAGCAACACTGGGCTTCCCTACAACCATCCTCACCTACTTGACACCCATGGGTATTTTTATTTCTCTTTCCATAGCTCTTGGTGTTCCCACTCACTCCACTGAGCAAGCTTGGATATCTTTTCCCCACCTTTGAGGAAACTAGGTGCCCAAGATAGTCCTCTGCCTTAAGGACAAAATCTGTTAATTAAGGTAAGTAAGTTAATAACAGATGAGGGCAGGTAATAAAGATTTTACAAAATGTATCATAGAATGGGTTTTGGATCATTTGGGTATTTTTCAAACATCAGATTTTGCCCAGAATATTTCTGTTGCAAAATGTACCACTTGTTATTGCTGTTGTTGTTGTTATTTCACTCTATTGTCCTTCAATACAATCACAAGGTGAGTGACTTTTAAATCATTCTCATTTATGACAAATTACTAAATGCTTAAGGAATATTTAATAAACTTTATCTAAAAACTGAGTAAGAGAAATACTTCTGCACTTAAAATGAAACCCTTGTTTCCAAGGGTGCTGAAGGACATAATATTCTGGTATTTGTTCCACTACATTTATAATTCCTGTAGAGGATAGAGATGAAATTTCTGTTTCTAAAAGATGAATGCATATCGTAAGCATTAGTAATAAGTAAGACGTTCAGCCTGGATTTGCCCAGGAAAACATTTGTCCTTTCTGATTGGGGGTGGAAGGAGAGGAAGACATAGGACTTCCTGGACTGGACTTTTATCTAGGCAACAAACAATCAAAAATAATGTGCATATTCTTCCAACTCTAATATTCCAGGATCTCAAATCTCACTGAAAGATCAGCTCTTTGAACTCTCTAAAATTCTACCAGTTATCTAGGAACACCACATAACATATTGAAATATGAAGATAAAAGAAAGTCTTTTTTATGTGCTTTGCCCTTTGACAAGCGGCCTAAACAATCACACAAAAGAGGAAGAAAATAGACACTTGGCCACACAGTACTGGGGGACTTAACAAGGTCAGTGTGTTCTGCTTGTGTATGAGAAACAATAGAATGGCTTTCCTTTCTAATGATTCTCCCTATCATAGGAACTTATGAAACTAAAGGAAGAAAATGTGTAAAAGAGGGAAGAGAAAAGGTAACAATGAAAGGAAATGAGGAGCAAGAAAAAGAGAAGAAGATGGTCCAAGCCAGCTGCCACGTCAAAGGACTTGCACCGCCCAAAGTTGGATGCTTGGGTATTGATTTCACAGTTAGAGACTCATGTGTCCTGAACAGTTTTCCTAATCTCCTTCTCTTCTCTTTTTCTCCATTTGTCTCACAAAAATAATGACACAGTAATACATTAAATGTTTTTTACCTGGGTATAGGTAAAGTGAAGTGGTTCTTCCTCAGTTTTTCTAAATTTTCAAAGAATTAACAAGACCCCAATAAGGAAAGAGAGAAGATATTATACCCGGTTCCTCACAATTTCTAGAAGGACGAGTGGTGCTTCTCATTTTTCTTTGAGTTCCCCACTCTTATGTATGCTTCTCTTTGAGGGCCTTTCAGTATCTCCTGCCCCACCCAAAGAGAGTAAGCACCCCAGTGGAAATCCCCTGATCAAACCAGCACATGCTGTACCAAAATATTGTGTCTTGGCTTTGTTCTTTTACATCTTCACAACTAAAGGAAAGAGATACAATCAAAATGATAGTCCACTTACATGATAAACAAGAGAATTTAAAGAGACATGACCTCATTACTTACCCATCAAGTGTCAGTATGTAAGCAGTTTAAGAAATCTGTGTTGGTAGATAGACATAATTTATGATTTCTCCCAGAATGCTTGCTTAATGCATTGGAATTTATAATTATAGCTTTCTTGAAAGGATTTTTAGCTCAGTGCACAAACATACTAATTTTTTGTGAATTGGGGTTATAATTTTCTAACCAAGCTTTCAAAACAAGCTTAAAAATGAGGACACAAATTATTATCTGATGCACAAAATTGTCACTCTATTTGGTTTTGAAGGGGTTTTGAAATGTCAAAAGAAGGCCCCAATCAATGGAGGAGATAGAATATGTGCCCATCTGTTAGATTTCTGCTTAGAAATACTCCTTGGTTTTGGAGCCCAGAGCATGGCATTATTACAGGTACAGACCATGTCTCAGACTGGGTCTGCCTCAGAACTGAAGAGGAATTTCTAGAGACTGGTACAAATGTTCCATCTCCTTTTTTTCATTTCATTATTGTCAAATAACAATAATGATGAGACAAGTTAACTTATGCATCTTTCAAAGACTCTCTGACTTGCTTTACACCTTAGAAGATGCAGCTCATCTCTGTTAATTTAGACATTATCACAAGCCCATAGGACCAATTCTATCCAGTAACAGAGAACAAGAGTTTATAACTCTCTGTCCACTCAGCTTCCCTGCTCTCATCACCTTGTAATCACAGCCCTGTGGCTTCTTTCCAAAAGAGAGCCACTGTGAATTAAGAGAGTGGTGTTTTATGGCCTGGATTTGGATTGTTATTTATTTGAGGGCATAAGCAGAACCATGTCTTATAGGATGTATTGTCTGCCTGCTGATGATAGTACTGCCATCAATGCATACCTCTGCACACTGATAATGACTTAAAGAAAAATATCCAGCAATTACCAAGAAGTGACCAGGCATCACAAAAACTACCACTTTAACCATGAGGCTGTATTAGAAAGGATTTTGCCTGGCATACAAAATTATGGGGAGTCTGAATTATCAATGCCATGGTCTATCTATGTCATATTCTATCCTGGATTCTGTGTTCCTAAATTGCTGTGTGGCACTCAGATTTTCACAAATATCATCCTATTTTTAATATACCAAGAAAGTAACTAATGTACTCTTTTCTTTTTTTTTTTTTTTGAGTTAGAGTCTCACTTTGTCACCTAGGATGGAGTGCAGTGGCACGCTCACGGCCACTACAGCCTTAAAGGCTGAGGTAATCCTTCTGCCTCAGCCTTCTAAGCAGCTGAAACTACAGGCACATGCCACCATGCCCAGCTAATTTTTTTATTTATTGTAGAGATGAGGTCTTGCCAAGTAGCCCAGGCTGGTTTTGAACCCATGGGCTCAGGTAATCCTCTCACTACGGCCTCCAAAAGTGCTGGGATTATAGGAGTGAGCCACCACACCTGGCCTTTGTTTATTCTTTAAGCTAGAGATCAGCAGACATTTTCTACAAAGGGGAAGATGGTAAATATTTTATGCTTTTTGCACCATACAATCTGTCTCATCTACTCAACCTTGCCATAGTAGCACAAAAGTAGCAGTAGACAAAACACAAACAAATGGGTTAAGATGCGGTCTAATAAAACTTTATTTACAAAAGCAGGCTTACTTGGGGAAAAGGGTCTAAAATTTTTTAATAACAATTTAAAAATTTGATCCCTAGGCCATAGTTTGCCAATTCCCGCATTATAAAAAAATAATTATTAAATGGTTACTACAATGGGTGAGGTACAAATAAGTACTCGGTATATACAGTGAACAAAAGATTTTTTTAAAACGGCCGTTCTTGTGAAACTTGCAGGTTGGAGGTAAGCTATTTAAAATAGACCTACAATAAATTACTTCATAAAATACAGTATGTTTCTTAAAGTGAAACTCACGGTCAGACAACCAATTGATTAGCTCTGTGAGCTTAGATTCTTGTCTTGTGATTCTTTCTCTCTTTCTTTCTTTTCTTTTTGAGTCAGAGTTTCACTCTGTCACCCAGACTGGAGTGCAGTGGCACGCTCAGCCTTGATCTGCTGGACTCAGGCGATCCTTCTGCCTCAGCCTTCTGAGTAACTGGAACTACAGGCACATGCCACCATGCCAGAATAATGTTTTGATTTATTGTTGCCAAGTTGCCCAGGCTGGTCTTGAATCCAGGGGCTCAGGCAGTTCTCTCACCTCAGCCCTCCAAAGTGATGGGATTATAGGCATGAGCCGCCGTGCCCGGCCTTATGATTCTTTCAAAGAGTGAGATAACTTGAGCCTAGATTTGAATCTACCACTTTACTCTGAAGTAAGCACTTAAGTTTGAGGGCTACAAGGACTATCAGAGAGTCATAATACTTTTATTTATTTATTTATTTATTTATTTATTTTTTGAGTTGGAGCCTCACTCTGTCGCCCCGACTGGAGTGCAGTGGCCGCTCCCGGCCACCGCAGCCTCGACCTGCCGGGC